TATTATTATTATTATTATTATTATTATTTTTTAATTATTAGCAGCCTCGCCAGTATCTTTATTAGATCAAATCATATACATTAACATATATTCAACTATCTAAGCTACAGATCTGATATTTTCCGACTACTCTATTGAGTGCCCAGGGATGGTTTGCCTCACCGGATAAGGCATATATCCGCACTGGAGAGCTGCACCAAGCTAGCCTGTGAAGCTATACCAGAATGGCTTCATTTTATTTTTAATAAAATTTTTAATTGCTTCAAACCAAGTACTTTCTTTTACTTTTTTCTCTTTGCATTTATTATTTCCTTTCTTTTTAACTTTCCCCTTGGTTTGATCTTGACTGTTTCCTTCTCCTGAAATCGATTCTCCCTCTTTATTGCTAGGATTTGGCTTCTCAGAACTAGGGCTTTTCTATAAAAAATTATTCAAATTACTGTATATAAAATTTTTAGAATATATATATTTTGATCTTCTACAAACTTTACTTAATATATATAATCAATTTACTTAATAAAATTTTTTGTAATTAAGCAAAATAATTTTTATCTAAAAATAAACTATTTATAAAATTTTTATATAATTTTTTGGCTAAAAATAGTAGCTTATTTTAGCAATATATACTGTAATATATTATTGAACTTGAATACTATATGTTCATAAACTTGAACTGAACTTGAACTAAACCAAAAATTTGAGATCAGATTTAGTTTAGGTTTATAAATTTACAGTGCTTTTCAAATTACTGTGATTATTAAATTTCGTACATCACACATCACTGGAAATTCAGAAATCTGGAAATCGGAAATTCAAAATTAAAATATAAATATAAAAAAATTGTAAAAAATAATAAAATTTTTTACTTTTTTCGAAATTAATTAATGCCTAATGGCAGATGCTAAAAATATAAAACTCAAATATCAGCATGGAACATGTTTTGGATATCGCAAATGCTTATATTGTGCGACAGATTTGTGCTAATATACCTGCAATTGTAAAAAATTAGTGCCAAATAAGAAAAACAGAACTAGCAAAGTTAAACAGGCATATCCACGAACTTATGAACCTACTTGAGCAGCACCAAAATTCGAATATATTCAAAAAAAGGTCATGGAACATAATTATCAAATCAATTTAAGAAAATCTTTTAAGTTTTCTTTGTATAGCCGATATCATAGTATTTTGCTTAAGTTAAATTCCATAATAACTAAAAATCTATCAACAAATATGGCAACAGATAATACCAATGAACAATTAACAAATATGGCAACAGATATTATAACTAATTTTAATAACATATTAACAAATATAGCAACAGATATGATAACCGATACTAATGTAATTTATTCTGATATTATATAGGTGCTGTTTAATAGAAAAGGAGAAATCTCCTTTTTAAATCTGGTCAAATTGGCCATATTTATAAGGGTTTTTCCTTTTTTTCTATTGAACAGCCTGTATGTTAATATATATAATTATTTACATTTATTATTATTTTTTTTCTTTAGGAAATTAATCAACTATCTTCCCCATCTACATCAGCAATAGCATCCAGTGAAAATGAACTAATTAGTAGCGATGATGATGACGAATTTGAAATAAGTTACAAACTAATTGTAAAAACAGTAGAAGGATCTTCATTACTAGCAAAATGGTTTAAAGAATCAGTATCAGCTATCAATGAATTTCTTTCATCAATTCATGATAAAATTGTTATGCTTACAAAAGATGATACACTTGTATCAACTGATTATAGCATAGCATTTAAGACACAAAGAGAGGCCGGTGCTAGTACTCAATTAGCAGATGTACAAGATTTTATTAAATTTAAAGCTGAATCTATAAAGCTAGCTGAAAAAAATACCAATGTTAAGATTTATATAACAATCGTGAAGTCAACTCAAATAAAACAAAAAAATCTGATAAATATAATTTGTTACTAAATATGGACGTAATATATAATAATTACATAAATACAATCACAAAATAATTTAGGATGCAGATTTAAATACTAACACTAATAAAGAAAAAGAATCTTTAGGCAACTACAAAAATAGTAATAAGGTCAGTTTTAAAAATTTTACACAATTATGTTGTGCAAATATTTTTTATACATACGTAAAATGTTATTTTATTTTTTATGCATGTTGCATAACCTATTGTTAATTTTGTGCAAATAACAAATTTTTAAAGTTCTACATATTTCATCCTTATCCGTACATGATCAAGCAATTGCTAAAATATGCTAAAAATTCAACAAGAGCATCATTATAATATACACAACCGATCTTGCCTAAACAAGAAAGCAGTAAAGATTTATATATAGAAATTACCTTTATGATGCTTTCAATATGGGCATCTGATATAGTAAATCTATTGTTAAATAAATTACGATATGTATTACAATTTTTAAGTATTATTTATATGTATATATATATTTAGAATAAAGGATTGGCTACGATCAAAGATCCCCCGACACATCCTCTTTTTTCTCATTCCAAGATGTCTAAAAAATCACACACCTTTATTTTACAAGAACCATTATTACAAACTCCAATATCTTCTTTACAAGAACCATTATCACAAACTCCAGTATCTTCGTTATCACCATTGCAAGCTCTATTATCACAAACTTCAGTGTCTTCGTTATTACCATTGCAAGCTCCATTATCACAAACTCCAGTGTCTTCATTATCATCATTGCAAGCTCTATTAGTTCTATTACTATAAGCTTTTTCATCACAAGCTTTACCACAAACATCATTCGTTTCACCACTACAGGCTTTGTTATAAACATCATTTGTTTTACCACTACCACAAGCATTATACAACAATTAGACTTACAGATCTTCATTATTTCAACCATATTTAGCACCTTTTAATCTGTATCAAGTACAATCACTTCAACTTCAAGCAAATAGATGGTTTTCAACCACCTTGCTAACAATGACTGAGTTTTTAAAATTAGTAGATGAAAAGAAAGGAA